GCATGAGTTACTTGGTGTGTCTTAATGATATGTTAAACACATTCTGTGTGTAGGAATTTAAAATAGGGGTAAATTAAAAACAATCTGTACAGTGTTTGCAACATTAAACTGATAATTAAACAGACTCCATCCCACAACTGCAATATAATTGTAGTGGTTTTTACAGACCAGTAGATGGCCTCTAGTTACGCAGACGCGTCCTCGTGCTTTTGACTGAAAAGGTTACGCAAGAGGTAGTGTGGGTTGATATAAAACCACAATATATTTAAACGAAATATAAATTATATAAACTCAATAGATTTAGTGTAGCCTATTTAGTCATTTGTGTAGTTTACAATGCGCAAAAAAAACAGAAAGGGGACACGGAGATCCAGTCAACAGTGTTGAAAGTCAAAAAATGTTCACTTGTAAAAACGAGAGAGTACCGCAAAATATGTTAAAGGTAAGGATAAAAAATTCTACTGTGGGCAGAAAGTTTTGATCCTTCAGCTTAAATCATTAATGGGCTGCCAAACAGCGGCTCTTCATTGGGAGGAGGAGTTATTTATTGGCAGAATTCCCTCTCATCTCACACTCACACCGCCCCACAGTGTTATCGCTCCCGTTCCTGCATCCAGAAGAGTCTTTCTGTTTTCACTCCTCACGCGTTTCAACATGGACTTAGTAAATTTTCTGCTTTCTATTGCAGTCACCGCCTGCACAGTGAAAGGTAGGCAGTCTGCATGCATTTCATTTGGCTAATTAACTCTATCGCGCGCCATGCATGTTAAAAATAACAATTATTGTTTAAATAATTAGGAGTAATAGAATTTGTGTGTGTGTGTGTTATTGAACGAGACGTGTTAATGTGCGTTCAACCTTGCTCCGCTGTGGATTGGTTTTAGCGGTTCCCTAGCTGAGATTGCAGACCTGTTGTGCCAAACACTGAGTTTCAGACACTTTTGGTCTAGATGCCTTAGCAATCATATGAAAGTGTTGTGTGTGCGTGCGTGCGTGTAGTTATAGTCATCATTATTAGTATTTGATATTAAGTGTGTTTTTCATGGGTTCAGAAGCTATGACGTAATATTACTATACTAAAGTAAGGTCCGATATGCAGCTTGCAGAGAACAAACATGTTATAATGTCTTATACTACATGTTACGTGTGGCTGATTTGTCTGTCAGCTCTGAACTTTCTTTTGCTGTTGAACTGTGTGGTTTCTCGTGATGTAACTAGAAAAAAAATTATGCAAAATGAATAAAAAAGAGCTGCAAGATCACAGCATTTCTAATATTGTGGTTTATGAGTGATAAAGAGATTGGGGCAAACAGTGACTGGACAGATGCTTCTATGTTTAAAAAAACAAAACAGAATAACAGTCTTTTTTCTTTCACAAGATATTGCCATCATATCCTGGCTCTGGTCCTTCTACAGGGAAATAAGCAAACCGTGCAAAATCTTCAATGCTTTATGTTTTATTCTAATTGAATACTGCTTCTCATCGGTTTTACTCAAATCTGATCTGAGTCTGAATATTTTAATTGAGGCAATTCATTTAATGATAATCACTGACTGGGGCTCTTTAGTCTGCACTTTACAGCCAGGGGTTAATGAAGGTTTCTTTGAGAGCGAAGCAAGTGTTGTTGGTGTGTGTGCATACGGTGCATGCACATATAAATGTCAGGGCATGTCTGGAGTACTTATAGGCCCTGTCCAGCCCTTTGGTATTACTAAGGCTGATAAATTTGATTAAGAGGTTGAGAGACTTTCCTTCTCCCTTTTATGGCTCCAAGCTCATTTCTCGTGGACCCGCTGTGGTTTTTCGGACAGCATGGTACTGGGGTGTATAACAGTATGTGGACAATACAACACATTAATGTCACCTTGCATTGAAATTTGATTACGGTGAGATCAGGAGTGGGGGGATATCCACTTGGGATATGGACAAAGACAAGCTTTCAGCTAACCTTTTTTTTAATGAAAGAAGTGGATGCAACAGAGAACAGAGGAATAGGGATATGCAGATAGACAGTATGCTCTGTGCCAATCCATCAGGATAATGTGCTTCTCATAGGAGGTTTAGGAAAACTGGGCCATTAGTGAAGTGAAGAAGTGCTGCCAAAAACGCTCCATAACTCAGGAGAGGAACTAAGAGTGTGTTAAAATGAGGGACGGGTCTGATTTGAGATTGGGAGATGAATCATGTCCAAATATGGCATTTGAAAGATTGCCATGTCTGGGCTGCATTTGTTTCACCACCCCAGGTAATGTTGATAACTCCAACACCAACTTTAGATGCATTAAATCAATTGCAAAATGATTCTAAAGTGCGAGATTTACAACTTGAATGAAGCAGGAGGTGGATCAGCACCACGCAGTGAGACTGACCCAGAACAGAAGTGGAGTAGTAGTGAGTGGCTGCAAAAGGGGAAGATGTAAAAGGCTGCAGGAGAGTAGAGAGGCTGAGTTAAATTCAATTAGCTGTCTCAGTCTCATCCACAAATATATGTAAACTTCCCTTCAAATAAATTGTTTTATTGATCATTTGAGCCACGGCAGCATTGCGTATCTAAGGACAGTGGTTGTGTGTCAGTCTTGTCACACCAGTCCAGACTAGAAGATGTCAACAGCTGTTGGATGGATTGTCCCGTAGATCAGTGCAGACGTTCTTCTTCTTCTTGCATGTGAAGGTACAGTGTAGCAGTGTTACTTGGTGGGGCTCTTTCTCATTACAGTTGTGTGTGCGTGTGTGTAGGGTGGAGGCAACTCAGTGTGTAAAGTAGAAAAGAAAGCTACAGACAGGCTGTAGGTCATGTTTTTATTTATTTACTTCTTTTTTGTCAGCCACATTAGAGTTTATAATGTTTAATAAATGAACATGACTTTTGTGCATTTCACATTGCACGGGATCCTTATTTCAGTTTGCACAATACGCAAAGAAGTGTGTACTTGATGTTTGATATAAATTAGCGTCGCTGTCTGAACTTCAGCATATTAGAAATATCACTGTTTTTACTCAGGTTTTAGTAACATCTAAAAAAATAACTGTTCACACTTCATATTCTACGATGTAAAATACTGCATAGTGAATTGTTTTGCAGTATGGCTGCTGGAAGTTAAGGAATGATTTGATGTGACTAACAATGTCTTTCTTGCTTATATTTATAATTTATTTTACTTATTAATTGTTCTTTGGAGTCCTGGTTACCTGTTTCTCTTTTTTCTGTAGTTTCTCATCAAGGGCCAAACCAGCGCAGACTGTACAGTGACCTGATGAATGGATACAACCCACTAGTGAGACCAGTCCAGAATGACTCTCAGTGTCTCATTGTTTCCTTCGGCCTCACCCTCATGCAAATAATGGATGTGGTGCGTAAATGATTGCCCATTAAACACAGCTGTTTATACATACTACATAGTAGTCTACTACATATACTGTACATGCCAGTAAAGTGATAAGTCATGCATGGTTATGTAAGCAATTTTCATATATTTAAAGATGACAGACCTGATCCCCATCATTGAAGCAACTATTCCAAAAACAGCAAGTTCCCAAATTCAGTGCATACTGATGCAGCAGTTTTGATTTTGCCACAGTCTACAAACATTGTTTTCTCTAGTGTGAGTGAGGCATTATAAGCGGTTTAAAAACTGACGCCTCTGTGGATTTGTACATTTCTAGTAGGGTGATTTCCCATTTATGAAGCATGCACTTCATTTAAAAAAATCAAAAAGAAAAAAGTAAAATAAATGTACTTAATTACAAACATGAATAATTCTGTTTTTCTAACAGGATGAGAAGAACCAGGTTTTAACAACCAACATTTGGCTACAGCTGGTAAGTATAATTTATGTAAAGTCACAGAAAAGCTGAGTTGCGAAGCTTTACGGCCGCACTTACACACATCATGCATTTTAATCACAGAGCCATCTGTTTTATATAAATCCTCTCAGTTAACTCTAAGACCATTTTCACCTGAGTGTTACATTGTACCTTTACTTTTGGCATTTGATCTGGTATTTAGTTTATGCAAACATGTACCACAAAGAGATTTATTATATTGTGAGCATGTGATGAAATGAATTGTGTAACTCACGCATAGTGCTACCCAGACTTTCTATTCGTCTTCCACACGGGCAGTACAGCACTTTGTCCTTCATGCAGTGAGATGAAGTGTATTAACGCAGATGCTTTATTACAGCTTGTCCATACAGTGACAATAGATCCCTGTTGCTGCATCGTCAGCAGCTCTACCAAGGCTGAACCAAGGCTGTTTGGTCTGTTTTAAATCATTCTGGGGCATCGCAGCGGGAGTTTTGTTCACTCTCTCTCCTTCTGCTCCCTGCAAAATTCATTTTAGCTCTTCGGCACATGATCGCGCCGACAGCATCCACAGTGTACTTTGTTTTAGCATCAATTCAGCATCTGTTGGATTATTTTACTTGCGTAGGTTTTGAGAAAAGTAAAAGGGGGGAAAAAAGGAAAATGTCATAAAGATGCACACAAGATGTATACATTGCTACATATATGACTTTGAAATACTGAGAAGGATTCTTTAAGATTACACGTTGAAACATTAAATGTGATCGACCCTTCTAGTGCCCTCCATCAGTGCCACTGGGTAATTGTACTATAAATCTTACAATGCCCAACAAACTGGATGACCTCTTCGATACACAAGTATTTTGATTATTAAGCACGATTATGCCCTCATACTCTTGTGCAGTGCTGTGTTTCATGTAATACCAGCTGTCTTAAGACACAGGGCTGCATTTAAGCCTGCAGGCAGAAGTTGGCATGAGACATGGACAAATTTGCATAGTCGCTTACACATACTAATAAAGCACAAAACGGAGAGTAGAGTTACGTCTGGTCATTTTAAGGCCAGTTATTTTTCAAATTAAATAATAGATCAGCAAGTTTTGTAGATGTTAAATGAATGAAAGACTTGTTGTAAAGTTTAAAAAGTAGGTGGAAAGTTTTTTGTTAAACAGTGATGCAAATTAAAGAGGGTTCCCTGGCTGTGGAAATGCCATTTTTCAAAATCACCATGTGAGATGCACAGGCAATTATATCCTTCCTCAGTTTGTTTTCCTTTGCCTTTATCATTAACTGACCTTTATGGTTCATTATACTGGGAACTTGAACATGGCACTTTGAGTTAATTAAAAGTGAATTATAGATTGGATTAGAAAACTCCTTATGAAAGCCATGTAATCAAGAGAAGTGTCTTCACAGTATGTGTTCATACATATCACCACGGCTGTGGACCTGGAGTTGGAGTTTTGTATTCAGTGAAATATTCACCTTTCTATTCATATTTATATTTTAAAAGAAATTCTGGAGCTTCATTTTAAACATTATGTGTAATCAGTACCTTCATTTATCCTCAGGGATAGATGCCATTCACAGTGTGTTTTTTTTTTTTTT